GTGTGCGGTGTCTGCTGCGATGGCGGCGGCGTGAGGGAGCGGTGCGCAGCTCGTCCTTCGCTTAAATATATATATTTCTCTCTCTTTGTGTGTGTCCTCCCGCACGGACTGTCGCCCTCGCCCCACCCCACGAGGCACACACGTAATGTGCTCATGCATACACGCACACTCATGCAGCCCGTTGTCCTCCTTTTTGTTTTAATTATTTTGCTTTTGAGGGGCCGCTGCCGTCCTGCTTGGCTGCATGGGTAGAGCACCGTAACTGCTTTAATCATTTCAATTGTTTTGGTTTTGATTGCTTTCGGTGGGCGGCCTTTGTTTCCCTTCTTCTTACTGGATTGGGCTGTGCGGGAAGGGAGGGAGTGTGTGCGTGCAGGTCGGCCCACTTGCAGCTGCGCGTCCCCACTGCTCGGTGGACGCCCCACGCTTCGGCTTCGATTCACGGGGTTTGTGTTTGTGTGTTTGTTCGTTTGTTCGTTTGTCTTTTGATTGGCTGCATTCATTCCGCGGGCTGCTTGTTTGTGTGTGTCCGTGTGCTCTCCGCCGTGTTAGGCTTCCTTTTTTTTTTTTTGCTTCTCTTCGCTGCCGCCTCGTAGATCACTGCCCCCAGCGACTCTGCCACCACCACCACTAACACCACGACGGATGGCGATGGCGACGGTGCGGCGCCGTGCGGTGTGGGCCCTGGCGGTGCTTGCGGTGCTGTGCGGCTGCTGCTTCTCCGTGTGCGGGGCGACGTCGCCCAATGAGGAGGTGGAGGTGATGGTGCAGGTGGATGTGTCATGTCTAGGCATTGAAGGAAAATTAAGTTGGCGTGTTTCTGGCAAGAGTGATTCTGAATGGACGGAGTGCTCGAAGCCGGTGAATTATGATGGGTCCCCTAAGGCCGAGACGGCCGGTGCAATCAGCAGCGACAGCGACTCCATTTGTTCCCTTGCCGGATCCAAGTTCGAGCAATACAGCTGCAACCCGACCTGCAATTGCTCAGCAGTGGAGAACAGTAAGAAAGTGGCGTTCACGATGGATTTGGTAGCAGACAACAGTGAAACCTCCGAGGTGTTTGACCAAATCGTTACTCTCAACGGAACTCATTACAAACTAAGTGGCATTTTAGACACATGTGAGGTACCAGATTCCACTCCACCCGCAGATGAAAGAACGGTTGGGGAACCGACTTCAGGAGAGCAGTCAATACAAACACCACCAGCAGCACTACAAACACAACCACAAACACAACCACAACCACAACCACAACCACAAACAAAAACATCACAATCATCACAAACGCAAACACCACAACCACAAACACAAACAGAAACATCACAACCACCACAAACACTAACGGAAACACCAGAAACATCACAAACATCACCAGCAGCACCAGAAGTGTCATCTTCGGTGGCAACTCAGCAGGACGGCACTTCGGCAAGCGGCAGTGAGGTTACTGAAACCCCTGCTGCTCCTGCTGCTGAGCAATCAGTCAGCACGGACTCCACAGAGCCTCAGGGAACATTCCCACCACCGAATGACGCTGAGGATCCATCAAAAGCCACAGGAGACAGCGGGGCAGATGGACACGGTGGGACGCAAGCACCCTCAACCTCTGCAGAGCCATCCGGCACGTCCGCTTCCAACACTCCCGCAGGCAGCGATGGTGAAAGCGCCACTACAGCCACGACCAGCAGCAGCCCCAGTGGTGGGAAACACACAGAAGGCAACGCGGACGGCAGCGGCACGCCCACTGTGTGGGTGCGTGGCACGCTGCTGCTGCTGCTGACGGCCGCCCTTGCCTGTGCTGCTGGGGAGTGACTGCTGCGGGGCAACGACACACCCACACACACCCAGGCAGGGCGACGCAGAGTGTTTGTGCGCCGAGTTTGCGTGTCGCCCCTGTGGGCCAACTCCTCTCCTGTGCTTTGAGGGGTACTCCTTTGCTTTTTTTTCTTGCTTTTTGCTTCAGTGGTCGTTTGCT